TTTTTCATTTGATGTTCTGAACCATCCATATGCTATGATCTATCATACCCAAAAAAATCCCCACAATTTTTTTTTTAAATCAATCAGCTGATCTAATCTACTGTAGAAAGAAAGTGGAAATCAAGAATATGATTAGCAAACTTAATCGGAATCATTATCATCATTAATGAATAGTGATTATGTGATAACGCATGCTAGGCAGAATGAAGAACATCATTTATAGCATTATGGAGGAAACATTTAAGTATCTTGTTAATTATGCCTGTGAATTGGAATGTTTTCTCCACCTTTTATATGATATCTTAAATTCAAGTAAGATGTATCCAATTAAACAAAAAAATGACTACTTAATAATTTCTACATCTTATGTTGAAAAAGTTTTTTCAATTGTTAAAACACTTTTATTTATTTAAAATACTTTATAAGTGTAAGAAATTAATTGGACTGATACAAAAGTGAGTATCAATGTATATGAAGGAAATGTCATATTAATTACAAAGAATATACTTATTAGATTTATAATCTTTACACATCTTTTAACTTAACCTTACATATGAATCTCTAGTCCTACATTCTCAACATACCTTCAAATGTCATGGGACTATTAAGGTTTAAAACTTGGGAATGTAAGATGTGATAATTGGAAGAAAAGTATTTTATTATAATGTTGAGATGTGTATAGATAGTTACATGTAATAGCCTTCATATAGGTCCTAAAGTAGAAATCATTACATTCAAATACCTAAATACAATTTATTCATTAATGCTAAAATTAAATACATTATGTGACTAAATTTCCTAATTCCTTAATAGAGATTACTGAAAAGTCTTTCACTCCATTAACTTCACTACACTCATAGTTCTAACTGAACCCATCTTAATCACCAATCACACCATCAACTTTTACATCACTTGTTAAGACTCAATCGAATGGCTTGGCAGCACATCTGAGAAAGCTTGGTAGCACGTCTAAGAAAACACTAATACATATAGAGAGACATCATCTTAAATAAAATAAAATAAAACATACTTGTCAAGTTTGTAAACCTCACATGTATATTATACACATTCAACTCATTTCTCTCTAATGTGAAATACCTACACATCCCTTAACTTCATCTTACGTGTAAACCTCTACTCCAACAATAATTCCCACTAACAATAGAAATAAAGAAAAGATAAAAGTGAGGGTGGATCAGTTATGACCCAATAATGATTCATTTCGCAGGATTTGAATGGATCCAGACACTTCCTTGTGGACTCGCTTGTTAAAGTTTTAAGTATCTCCAACCAAGGAAAAGAATTTCGGTACCTTGCAAGCAAATAGAAGATTAGGTTATGTCAAGCAATTCCCGGAAAATCTATTGCGTTGTCGGAATGAAAACAGAGGTGATTTGCCATTGTTTGCATCCAACACAAGTACACAACCCCATTCCACGGCTCCGAATCAATGCATTATCATAACAAAAACAATTCTGAGGTCATATGTCTGTCGGCCCACACAATTCTGAAACTATCCCTCGTGCTCACAACTCCAATATTTGCATGCCTTCAATCTTTCATTGGGCTCTGCTTCTTTCCCAACTCTGAAATCTCCAATTCCAATTTTCAACGCTTCGATGCTAAGTTAAGTAAACTGAATTAAAAAAAAAAAAAAAGATTTTTTTTTTCTTTCAAGGTTTGTGAATTGTAAAAATTCCAACCTTTAAATTAAAGTTTTAAATATAATAAGTTTTAAATTCATATCACATAATATACAAAAAAAATAAAAAAAAATATGAAAAAATTATTTTTTATTGTAAAATCAAGATAAAAAAAAATACAAATCGTAGGGTAGTATGTAAATTCAAGACAGAAAAAATTTGCTTAAAAGTGTATCGACTGATTATAATTTAAAATTTGAAGCTAAGTATCTCAAGTGCGAGGATATCGATTTGAGAGAGTGAAGAGGTATTCCCCACCATAGCCTGTTTATCAAATTAACTCTCTTTCGCTGTTCTAGTTGACTTGTCCCTGAAGTGATATCATGCCGCCCTCCGTAAACAATATTGCATAAAGTGCTATTGCACTCCTCCAATTTAAGAAAAAAAATTAAAGGGTTTGTATTATTAATAGATTAACAGCATAGGGTTCTTTTCCTTGTCAGATTGTGATAAAATCTTTTTAATTACATTTCATCGTTCAAATAAAGATAATTCTATCCTAAGCAACAGCTCCATGATCTTATCCGAGGTTACTCAAGATGTAACAACCTTTTCTCTTTAAATATATATATATATATATATATATAAATAGTACATATCAACCCCGACTCCAAAAATAATTGAAGTCTCAACTCTTAAAAATAATTAAAATCTCAATTCTAAATTACGATGTTTATTTAATTAAAATTCAATTTAAAATTTTAAAAATTATTT